ACAGCTCCATCTTTGCTTTCTTGATGAATTTAGCCTAATAGGTCCAAGGAAAGACGAGCTGGGAAATCGCTTCCCCACCAAATGCTACGGCAGGTAAAAGGATGGGCACTGGGGTGAGATCTCCCCATGTGGAAAGTCAGGTTTGGGAGCATGCTGGTGAGGTTGCACGCAAGGGCTGTAGTCGTTAGGTGCTTCCTTACCCTGCTGTGCCTCTTGCTAAGAACAAAGCACTCATTAAAATGTTTGCTTATTAAAAAATCTGTCTTCTCCTGCACTGAGGCTTGAAATAACCAAAAATGGCTTGACGTGTCTTTCAAACAGGAGCGGAGGACAGAGCCGCTCACCATCCCGCTCTGCCCATAGTCCCTTATTCCAGGAGGGTTTTGGGGGACACAACTGCCCTTCCTCTGGCTGCATGGAGGAAGGGAAATCAGAAGGATGGCATTTGGACCCCAAAGAGGTCTACCCCAGCTGGAAAACTCTGCTAGCGTGGGAGACACCTCTCTGTTCCCCATGGGATGCTGCTGATGCAGCCAGAATCTCCCTGGCTTGCTCACCCCCTTTCCAGGGCAGGAGGGACCCTTGGCCGTCACTTCCCTGTCACCTCCATTGCTCCCTGCCTGTTAAAGCTACCCTGGTGAAAAAGCTAACAGATTTTGCTATTTTGCTTCTTCCTGCTGGAGCTTTGGGCTCTCGGTACTCACCATGGCTTCACACAGCTGCCGATGTTGCTGCGAGAGGCGTCTCGGAGGCAGTCCCTCGCTTCCCCTGCGTTGAAACAATAAATACATCCCACTCCGGGTTAAAAATAGCCCCATGCCCACTTTTGGCTGTAATAGGTAAGTTAGCCGCCCCCAACTCTGTTGTCTCTGACTTTCTCTGTCCCTCTCTCTCTAATCTGGAATAGCAGCTTGTTGTTGTCACTGGCTGACGTGACATGTGAGCCAGAGAGGGTTTCAAGGTTAACGAAGTGCCAGGCGGCCCCACAGCTCCCACACTGGAGATGCTGACCAGCGGCGGGGACTGCACCGGAGCAATCCCACCTGCGTTTGTCACTCGGGCTGGGGCCGGGCTTTTCCCCTCCGCTGGGACATGCAGGGAGGACTTGGCTTGGGGGGACCCCCGGCTACAGTCCCCCAAGCCTTGGGACAGGGATGTTTTGCCTCGGTCCTGCCAGGCATCTTCGGGAGCCTTGATGCCCCATCGCAGTGTTGGCATGGCAAAGCTGGGTGCTGCTCGGCTGCCGGAGGTGGAGGAGCCTCGCTGTCCTGGATGCAACGGGGTCTCATCGCTTGTGATGCTCGAAAAGCAGAAGCAGCTGTCTGGCCACCCCGTCTCTGGCCAAAGGGGACCATCCCTGCCGCAGTGCCAGCTCAGATGCAGCGCCCCATCTGAGAGTGCCGGGACGAGGCTGGAGGCGGATGCTGAGCTCCCGCAAAGCCAGGCAGGCACGCAGGGCTCCTCTCTCATGTGTCACCCCCCACCGAGGCACCTGTCACCCAGTTAAGCCAAACACTTGTTCGCCCTGGTCCTGGCGAGACGCACACAATTAACTCTCCCCATCACAATTAACTCTCCCCATCCCGGTCTCTGGCAGCGAGTGCGGGGCTACATCCTGCAGCACCCGGGAGCCCTGGCACTCACGCCGCACAGCTGCCGCGACTCACCAGCCCAGGCACGGCACGGCTGCCCTGGCCAGAGGCTGCATTTCTGCAGCGGGAGCCACTGAACCGTGCGCAGGCAGACAGCAACCCTGCAAAACCTCTGCCAGGGTCCGCTGCCCTCATGGAGCAGAACTACTGGCTATCGGGACCGGGCCGTTTGGCCGTTCTGTTTTGTCTTCAGTATTTTTAGTCTGTTAATTTTATCTCCCCTCCCTCTCGCCTTGCCCTGGTGGCGTGGGTGTGCTGGGGTGGGAATGGTGCTGGCAGCCCAACGATGCCTGTCAGCCACCGCCGCAGCCCCCCAAGCTCTGCCGTGCCTGGCATGGACCTGACCCGGTGGCTGGGGCGCAGGGGGCTGCTGGCCTCCCTGCCTGCACCACTGCCTGGCATTGTCCCCACCGCATGCTGAGGAGGCTGGTGGGTGAGCAGGGAGGGCTGGGACAGGGCTGGGAACAAAAGGCAGCATGAAATGGGATCCCCGGAGCTCTGGGTTCTGCCCAGACACTGCCCTCGTTCCCCCAGAGAACACAAATACCGTGTTTAATCCCTGGCACTCGCCCCTTGGTTGCACCTCGACACCCTGCTGCCACAGCTGAGCCAGCCAGGATGGCATTACGGGGAGGATTTAAGTAGGCAGCAGGGAAATGCGTAGGGAAAAGTGCCCGGAGAGGAGAAAACTCCTGATCCAGGAATGACTGCCTCATCTGGATGAAGCTGTGGCTGAGGGAAGGGATTTCAGGATGGGTTTTGGGGTCTGTCTGAGCAAAAGGGCAGGCAAGAGAGCCGAGGGGCAGAGCTGGGGTAAGAACCAACCCTGGGCATGCAGGCACAGCCGGGGATGAGTGGGATCAATCTTAGCGTGGACGCTCCCTCCTCCTGCCGAGTTCAGCTGGATTCATTGGCCAGCCGAGCCCAATTACCTTAATTTGTGGCATTAAGGAAAAATCCATAAGCATCAGGGAAGTGATGTGTAGCAGTTTAACGGGACCGGTTGGCCATGGAGCCGCCGGCACTGCCTGGGTGCAGCCCATCCCTGGCTCCGCGGCTGTGCCAGGGCATGGCTGGTGGCATGGGAGGCAGCCCTGGAGCCGCGGAGATTTCCCAGAACATTTTTTTTGGGAGGGAAAGCACTGTTTCTTCCTGCCCAGCCTGGAAGAGATCAGACCTCAGTCTGTCCCCAGTGTTGCCCACGTTGTGGTTGGGGGTGAGATGGCTGGGGGCTTCGAGGGGCCGGCTGCAGTGAGCGTGGCACAGAAATCCTGGCCAGGGATGGGGTGCAGATGGCTGCCTGTGTTTCTGCCGTAATTTGTAAGACGGTGCATCTGCTCCGCTGCTCACTTCTCGCTGTTCAGACGTAATCCTCTGTGCTGCACGGGCCGGATCCTGACCCCCAGTAAGGACCCTGGTCCAGCCTAGGGATGGAGGCGTCTCCAAGCACATCTTTTCCTTCTCCTGCTGTGGATGTTGGGGGACTTACTGGCACCCAGGAAAAAATGAGTGCTTTAAATGTATATGTATGTACATATATGCCTATAGAGCTCTGTAGTGAACAAAAGAGCTGTTGGGAAGTGGCTGCAGCCTGTGAATGGATGTCAGGGAATAACACACGTATCTGTGCCATGGCAAAATCAAGCATCTTCCCTTCTTATCTGCGAAGGAGCCTGTGTTTTACATGAAAAAGCCTTTCTAATTAATAGGACAGCCCCTCTTGAGCTCGATTAAAAAATGGAGTCAAAAGGATTTGATTAACCCCACTCTTTTCAAGGCGCGTTCTCTGCCTGAGTGAGGCGCGTGCTTGCACCTGAGCCAAGTCCTGCCCGTGGCCGATAACGGGCTCCCTTCGTCCCAGGGAGCCCGGCAGCATCGTGCCCACAGGTAGCCCTGAGTCTGAACATTGACGGAACTGATTTGGGGGTGTCCTGGCCCCAGGGCTGCCCAAGTGCGGCCGCGTTGGCATGCCGGGATGCTCCAGAGCCAGCCTGTGCAGCCGCTCGCTCCATGCTGTTGCGGTTTCCTTATGAATATCTTTTGGTCCAACCGATATTTTTTTCTGCGATCAGATACATTTGACTAAACTAATACATATGTATACACGCCGGTACGTTCCCATTCAAACCAATGTAAATCACCTTTGACCAATACATTTTCCTGGGAAATCAATGCATTTTAACACTGGATAATATTTATGAAATTGAATTTTTTATTGAAGCTAATGCAATTCTCTTCTATTTTATGCATTTTTATTAAACTAATGCATTTTAAATTAAACTGTTGTATATTAACTACAATGGCTGTTGGTACTTACAGTAAAATAATATATGTTTGCTGAAATCAATACATATTCCAAACCTAGGAATTTCCAGTTAACAAGGCTATATCAAGTATAACAAATGCATGTAGCTACTTAATTTGATGCTTATATACACTGGCTGGTATATTTGTTTATTGGTAATGATTATTTTTAAGGAAGAAAGCTTATTAAAGGTAGAAAGATGGATTGCTGTGCAGCTCAGAGCTGCAGTTTGAAGCCAGCGGCAGTGGCCACCACGTCCCCGGTGCTCACGCTGAGGGGGGCAATAGGGGTGGCCCGCATGTCCCAGTGCTGGTGGCTGAAGCCCATCTCCTCTGCCATGGACAGCCTCTGCACCCTCGGCCACATCCCTGCACCTTGGCTCCCACTGCGTGGGGGTTTGGGGGCATCCTTCCCTTTTTTTGGGCTCGCCCTTGCTCGGCATGCTCCCCCCTCGCACCCCCTTTCTGCTGGCAGTGTTTTCAGGAGCTTTTAAAGGGTTTTATCCATCTCCCCGTGGTGTTCAGAAGGTTTCAATGTTTAACAGCTTATTCCAGACAGACTTAATTTAGCAGCTTTGCCTGATTCAGCTCCATTTTCACTCGGAAGGATATATCACCGCAGTAATATGCAGGAGGATTTGCCCAACTCAGGGGTCTGGGTAAGAGCTGCCGCCTGCAAAACAGAGCTGCAGGCCAGCTGGCCTCAGGACAGGGCAGGTGATGGGGATGAGGACGGACGATACCCCCATCCCTGAGCTGCTGGCTCATCCCGGGGATGTGCCCTGTGCTGTGCACAGGATGCGGC